TTGTGTCAGAAAATTTTTTTCATCAGAATCCATCTTGCACATTTACAAATCTATCATTCATCCATGAATTGAATACTGTTGCCATATCTGGTCTGGTGCTCCTGCTGTACATCTTGAGATTCTTGACAAAATCCAAAAAAAGGATCTATAATGTAATTGATCCTGACCAAGCATCTCGATTTCAGTCACTTTCTCACCAATGTTACATAGCTTCCCTCTGTCTTTTCTACAAACATTTTCAATCTCTCTGACTACATGAATTTAAGTGTGTTACTACATTGGCATCTAGGTCCCACCCTTTTACTGTTGAAATAGCTAAATGCAATCACCACTTCTACTCCAAAAGTTTCTTCACTCACACTTTCCACCTGTGAAACTCCCTTTTGTTTATTTGCTTCCCTGATAACTACAATTTTCAGAATTTTAAATGCAATGTCAATTGCCATCTTCTGTCTTGAATTCTGCCCTTTCCTCAATTCTTTCTATTCTCAGTCTTCTCTTTAACTTTCATTCTCTTCAAACCCCTGTGTACTAGTGGCATTCTTACCTTGCTTGGAGTGAAATTATATATATATATATATATATATATATATATATATACACACTTTCACACAGCACACAGGTGCTACACTGATCTTTGCATAAATAGTCCTATTATTTTGGTAAGTACTATGCTAGTAAATAAATACTGCCTATTTGAGAATAATAAAATTATTAGTTTCATAGCACTAGGAGCTGTTCTCTTCTTTTTATGCAAGAAACATATTAGTTTAGTAGATGTCTGACTAGTCACTAAATAAAATACACATACAAGTTGGTTGGTTGTTTTTGTTTAGCAGCATATCAACACCTCTATGGGTTATTTAATGCTGAAATTTAAATATTTTGTATAGAATTTTATTCAATATTTGGATATAATAATGGCTTAGTGACACAAAGCTTACTAATTAACTCATAGTCGTGGTGAGAAGAGGTGGATTCATACCTTTTCTAAGAGTATTTGTGTGTAAGTGAATATAACAAACCCAGCTGGAATTGGAACTTGGCTTTCTGATTAACAATTCTGAGCAATTATCCATTACATAACCTGCAAATCCAGGTTTACAGCACCTGGTATTCCCCAAGTGGTCACCCATCTAGGTACTGACCAGGCTTGATGTTGCTTAACTTCAGTGATCATGCAGGGACATGCAAGTGATTTATACTGTTCTTGCACTACCAAATAAATGGAGAGTAAATGATTATTAAAGTAAAATAATGTATGTTCTTATTTATAGGTAAAAACAATTTGAATAGCTTTATTTATTTATTTATTTAATAATAGCTTTAAACAAATTGAGCACATTGTTGTGGTGTAATGGCTAACAACCTGGTCTCAGTAGACCAATTATAATGGAGTAGTGAGTTCAATCCTTAGTGGGTGATACTTTTGACTTTGTGCCATATCTAAGCTATGCTTAGTAAATTGGTATTTATTTAAATTAATAATAAGAGCTTTATTTTTTGCCTCTGTAACATTCAAATAATTTATCTGAGAAACTTTGGCATAGGGATACAACTGTAGGGGGGGGGCGTCCCAATGTCCTCTCAAGATAAGTTATCTATCAGTATTCTTTTTCTTTCTTTTCTCGTGTGTGTGTGTGTGTGTGTGCGCGCGCGCGCTTCCTAAAATTTAAGTTGGCTGATTTAAGACATGTGAAATTACTGATTCGTTTTCTACGGATTATCAACCCTTTGCAGATTATTTAAAGCCAGAAAATATTTTTAGAATTTAAGAATTTGGGTGGGTCGGTAGATTGTTTTTAGAGATACAAAAGTCTTACTAAACCCAAGGCCGTGGGGAGGTGGATTCATCCAATGGTATTTATTTGCACGTAAGTAAAACGAACCCAACTGGAATTGGAACTCGGCCCGTTTAACAATTCCGAGTTATTATCCGTTACACCACTGGCACATAACCTGAAAATCCAAGCTTAACACTTGGTATTTCCAAGGGCCAAATGGTCACCCATCTAGGTACTGACCAGGCTCGACGTTGTTTAACTTCGTGATCATACGTACGGTGACCAGTGTTTCAATGTGATGTGGCCGTAAGCCAAATGACGGAATTTGTATGGGAGCACCCAGTTAGAATCGCACTCACTACTCAGCAGTAATGACCAACCTGACTAGTCTCGCTAACTAAACCATTTAAAAACCCACGCCAAGGTGTCCTATTGAAGCTTCTTCTTTAAGGGTCATGAAAACAAATTACCACGCAAGAACCTAAATCTATATAATAAAAATTGAAAAATAAAACTGTCCCGGTTTGAGCCTTGGAAATATGACAAGGGTTCATGCAAAAACTTCAGTTGAAAGCAATGCAGATATTTCTGACAAACTAAGCAAGCACGCACATATATATACACACACACACACACATTCCCATCTTTCAGATATCACTGTCTGTCAGTCTACTAAATTCACTGCATATTAGAAAAGAAAATTCTCTTCATGATTATAAAGAGAAAAGCTAAAAACTACTTGAATAATGAGTTTTAATTACTTACCCCAAAATCCAATAGTTAATTAATAGGAAAAAAATTAAAACAATCTTCTTCAAAAATGAATTTAAGAAGAGAGAAAACCCATTTCAAATTTCAAATGTAGATAAAACGCGTTGTTTTGTTGAAGTGGAAGGTTCAAGTCGATTATTGCCAAAAGTAGCAATGACAGTTGACAGGGTAATCCACTTGGAATTGCAATTTATGCAGACATCATATAAAATAATAAATCTGTACGATGATCATGATAGTCAGCATCATGGATATTTATTCAGGAAATGCATAGACTAAATAACAGAAATTAAATTTAATAATGAATTAGTTAAAAAAAGAAAAGAAAAATGTACAATTATTTTTACGCAGATTAAATTTTAAAAAAAGAAGAAACAAACTAAAAATAAGTGGAAGCATTAATTAATTTTTTCTCAATCACACCCTCTGTCTCTATTCTTCTTCCCTTTCATTATCATAATTACTAAAAAACCCGATTTTTTTTAATTAAAATTAAAATAAATAATTTTAAATTGAAATAAAAATTTCCAGACACAAAGATTAAAATTCGTTTAGTTTTACGACGTTGTTTATCATTAAGTGATACTAAATAGTTTTTTGTGTGATATTTTTAAAAAAAAAATTAATTAAATTTTGTACATATCGATGCGTGAAGAATTTATTGAATATTAAATGACAAATGTCTAGTCTCGGGAAAGTAGAGTACACGACACAGTAGTAATAACATAACAATATCTCGAAGTGGTAGTGAATGATTCATTTTTTTGTGATAATCTCGCAAAAAAGAAAGAGTTTAAAAATAAAAAAAACAAAATCAAATTAAAATCCATCTAAATATAAAAGAAATCAAAATTAATTAAAAAGAAATCTTTTTCTTTTCTATGCGATAAATTAAAAATTATTGATTTGACTTAAAAATACTCTTCCTGTTTACATAAATTTAAAAAAATCGATCGACTGCTCATTCGAAATTAGTGACTAAGAAAATTAAATTAAAACTAAACAACAAAAAATAGGGCGACGTGTCTGTGTCAGCAATGGAAAAGAATAAAAACAAAACATCAAGTTTCAATAATAAACAACCAAGAAAATACCCCCACCCCCAAAAAGATGTTTGGGGTCTGTCTCCAGTTTTCTTTGTCTTGGAGAAAGACAGTAGCAAAGTTATTTTTTTTTTTTTTATAGAAAAAAAGGCCGCATATATCATTCAGTGCGGAACATCGAATCAAAAGAAGATAAATAATTACATTTATAATTTAAGAGATATAATCCCTCGTCAATATTAAAGTAAAAGGACAGACCCTAAATAGGAACGTCTGTGTGTAAACAAAATAAGAGTGAAAAGTTCAGTAGATTTTTAGGGTTGTTGTCAAACAAAAAAGTAGCCACGATAAAAGAAAGGGGCGGATCCAGTCTCTCTTGCTTGAGTCTTCGAAGAAGTTCAATAAGATGCCAATCTGCAACTTTCCGAAGGTGCCCTCCAAAAGTGCAATTTGAATAATAACAATTTATAAGCTCAGCTGGAACTGATGAGTGAATTATTGTTAATGAAGTGATCATTCGTACGTCCTACTAGCTCCAGCCTTTTTAGTCATAAAAATATCGTGTTTTAATAATAATTAAAAACAAAACCAACAATATAATCTACATTCCAAAGAATTATCAACCAAAAAACAGACTACTTACAAACATTTGGCACTTTTTTTTTAGTTTTTAAGCAGTTTCTTTCATTTTTTTTAAAAAAATTTAATTAATTAAAATCGTGTGAAATCTCAGCCGTGGTTAAAATGTATATTCACTTTATTAAAAAAAATATAAAAAAAAAACTGAGTCGTTAAAGAAGACTTTTTAGTTTTAAGCATTATTTTATTTTTAGGTCACTAGTTTTTTTGCATTGTCAGCGGTCGGCTTTTGAGGTGAGCAGACGGGTATGCACCTCCCCAGTCTGCAATCTCCGGGTATCTGTCCCTTGGGGCCGCCCAAGAAAGGATTTTCAAGGCCCTCCCCTTATGACAATAAAGTATCTTACAGGTTACAACTCGTACAAGTCCCCCACAACACGATATTTTAATTTTGATTACTAGGTCATTTTTACATCGAAAAATAGTTCTTAAAGGTTGCTACAGTCAAACCAACTCGAATTATATTCAACACGACTGAAGAATGTTTTTTTTTTTAGTATATATGCGATAAAAATTTGGAAAAAAAGGAGGAGGAGACAAGGGAGAAATTACACATGGAAAGCAAGAACGGAGGGAGGGAGATAATGCAGGTGGAGAAACAGGAGGAGGAGTAAGAACTGGGTTTTCATAAATTCTGTTCTCAAAGCAATCACCGGTTAGTGCATTTACAGGCCCCATATACCGGATAACGCATGCAATGAGACTTACACTTCCTAAAGGATCACATAAGAATTTAAATTGTCACAATTCAAAACCCACTCACCATTTTTAGTCCGTGTCGTAAGTGGAAGAAAATACAGTTGCGCATGCGTATCCTCTGCTGCCCCTTGTACGGCGCCGACCTAATTTGTTCCCCTTGAATTAAAGTCCATTTCAGCCACACCCACGTTTGTCTACGGAATGTGGATAAAGTTACCTAGAGTGATTGTAATTTTAAAAAAATGAATTACATACAAACTTTAAAACGATTTAGTCACAGAAATAACAAAATAATTGCAATATTAAAATTGTAAACAGCGTAAAACAGTATATCGGTTTTAAAAGAAACACGTCACGTTTTGTAACTTGTTTAGGGTTAAGTAAGAAATAAACAACAAAAAAACTTTGTAAAAATATTTTGTTTACTGTCTGAAAGACAAATACTAAGAGTTGATTGGTTATTATATATGCTTATTCCTACATGTTACTCCAGCTCGGTAAATCAAAATAATTTGTTATTTTTTTTTTTTTTTATTTGATTTATTTTTTATTTTGTATTGCACTTTATTGCAATCTTCGTCCAAAAGAATAAGACAGCATTGAGGTCCCTGAGTAAATTATTAATTTTGTTTTAATTTAAAAACAAATTAAATAAATTAATTAAAAAATATATTAAAATATCCTAAAGTCTAGTTTTTACGAACAAATTGATTTATTTCTGTCTCTCCAATTCCACAGAGAAGCCAGATGTTTATTAAATTTTATGGATAGGAACTTACGAGTTTGCCCGACAACCAGGTGGTGTCCTGTAGATGACTTTCGTTTATTATTCCGTCTATCCTAAAAGTGATTGCTCTCTGAGCTTTATTCTATTTAAAATTTTTGACGTCACAGATCTTTCCAAACTTTATAAAAATGGAATCCGAATTTGATCTTTTCCAAAAAAACATGATACAAAATAGTTGTAGAAAATGAAACATAAGTTTACTTTTTTGTTACTGGGGGGTACGATTTTATGATTTTAAAGAAATAAACAATGAATGTTTAAATCAGATCGATGAAGTTTGATTAGCTTTTAAATAGTAAAGTTCTGTTCTCCGCTTCAAAAAGCTATGGATTTATGTGACTAGTCTGATTCTTTAAATTCCAGCTCTGTGGTAGAACCTACCCCATTGCACTAAAGATGAAGAGTTGATAGATACCAAAGCCAATGAGACAATGGTTACGTCGACTGTTAAATTTCTGCCCTAGGCCCATATGGGTACCTGACATAAAACCTGACATCGTACTTGCGTGGGAAAGTCAGTGAGTAAAGTAAATCATCATCATAAGATTTGTTTCGGCTTGAAGGCTCACTTCATATCAGTGTGATTTCTCTTTTTCAGCAATTTTGTGTAGTGAGTTAACACACACACACACATATAAACTTTAACACACACTCACACGCTGGTCAACGCACACGCACAGCAGGGTTTAGGACACTGTCTAGCTCTACAAAACCCTACATGTATAGGAGTTCCATATTGGTATTGCTACCTCAACAGGAGATATGAAGTTATAGAGATCATCATCATCGCACACACACACACACACATACACTCTTACAAATTCAAATCTTTAACAGCATTCATTCATTGGACAGAAAGCAACGCTGCTAGCTGAAGCGACAATTTTAAAATCGCTATATTTTCATATAGTAAATTTTGTGCGCTTTTTGGAGAATTGGCTACCAGATGTCTCCCCAAAACTCAGGCACTGATTGGTCAGTATCAACCAATCAGATTCTCTGTATGTGGAGAATGATTTTTTCCGCGCAGTTTCCTACTTCGATGACTACCTATATAAACAGAACAAAAGAGGACCAACACCAAACTTCGACTGCTACTGGAATCCACGTCAGTCGAAGACGAGCCCATCTTCTCACTCACTCTCATATTACATATTCTATCACACTTACATAATTTTCCTCTTGCACGGCAGAACTGTCTAAAACATTTATAACAGACTAATAACTCTTTCATTTCCTTTTCAGAGAACATTGATAAACTTTTATAGTCAAAGAGTGACTACTCTCATCTGACTCATTGCATGCTTCTTTTTCGTATATATTCTTTATTGTACGCTTTGTTGAATACAATTTATATATATATATATATATATATATATATATATATATATATATATATATACCTTTGCCTTGCCCCTTGTTCTTATATCCGTTTGGGTTCCTAAACAAAATTAAATAAATGTGGTGAGAGGCCTAGACACGTTACATATCATTGATAACTCCGATGTTCATTTGGAATTCCGCCACAAAGTTCTTAGTCTCTTTTCGCCTCCAGAACGTGGATAGATAACAAGGACTAATATGTTCCTCTGCTGGCATCATATGATGGACCTTTTCGAAAGCAGACGCATGGTTACCCATAACTTTCTTCTCAAAAAATTGTCGGAAGCTGCAAAACGATACAGTACATTTAGATGTGAATTGATGGCTCTCTACCAAGCCACCCTACACTTTCGTCACTATCTAGAAGGAAGATCTTTTTACGTGCCCACATATCATAAACTCTTGACTGGAGCAGTTCAGGCAAAATCGGGCACCCCAGACACCTCAATTTCACCAGTCAATTCAAAACTGATATTCAACATATAAAAGACACCTCAAATATTGAGGCAGATATGCTTTCAGAAAACATTGCAGCAAATGACATATCTCCTATCAGTGATTTTGAAGCAATAGCATCAGCACAAAAGAATAATGAAAAACTACAGTAATTCCAATATGGGGATAGTTCTTGGCTAAAATAAAGGAGATATATATTATTCCGTAAGCAAAAACATCTTTGTGGTGCGATATTTCTATGGGAAACTTGCGGTCATTTATTTTGAAAAGCCCCCGGAGAATTATACTCGACAATCTACACTAAGGTTCGTATTCAGGTGTTGCGGAATTTGAGCTGATTGGATCTGTCAGAAGTGTGGTTGAGATGCGTGATTCTACGAAATGTACTTGTGTTGTCGTCAGGGTGCTATATTTTTCTCTAGTGGGTCAGAGTCGAGGCACGTCCTGGAAGAAACATCGGTAGTGATCTGTGTTTGCTATTAAAATTTGTCTTTTTCCAATGCTCTACGTTGAGTTGGCTTTGTCGTTCCGTCAACCTGTTTGCTGACCTGGCCGTAGTTTTATTTGAAATGCGTGGATAAAATTGGCGCACAAGATTTAATAGAAGCAGGGTTGTGGCGAAGTTGAGCCAGTGTGCTGGCGCGCGTGGAGTTTTTTGGCACCTCTCAAAGACTTAGTTACTGACTGGTATGCTGAGGTTGATTAAATGTACAATTACTATTTTTTAGTCAATTGTAATTTAAGTATCTTCACGCGGCAATAGCTGTGTGGGTTGTGTTGAGTTGCTGAGAGAGAGAGAGAGTGGTGGTTGTTGAGTCAGTGTGTTGGCGCGCGTAGAGTTTGTTGGCATCTCTCGCAACTTAGTTACTGACGATATTCAGTCCCCCCCACTGGGGCATCATGTGGCACAAGGCCGGTTATTTAATGTGGCCCATTGAGCCCGTATAAACGGCTTCAGGGTCGGTTTACCTCCCCGAAAGAGAATCCGCCCTTCGACGTAGCCTCCTTCGGGTTCCTTCCCGCCCGAAGGCAGAGAGTTCAATCGAAACAGCCGGTCAAGAGTTGGACGACTGACTCTTAGTTACTGACTGGTTGAATTGAGTCAAGTGATTCTATTTATTAATTTTTGGGTTTCAAACCGGCTCCAGATAGGTGAGCGGGAAAACAGATTTGTCGCAACTTGCTACATTTTTTGGGTCCTTTTAACCAATAAGAAGTCAAGTTTGAAAAAGTGAAGTGGTGATTGCTTAAAGTTGATTTGGGGGAAGAGTGCATTTTCCCTCAGGGGTGACAGGCAAATATGGAGGATTCCATACAGGTATCAAATCTATTTGAAGGATTATTAGCAAAAATTACGTTTGGCCTGGCATCAAGAAGGATAGAAGATACTGGACATGCTACTGTCTATCATGTCAAAAATTAAAAGTAGTAAAGCATACGAAATCAGTCCCTGCATTTTTATTCCTGTTCACCATGTCCTCATTGACATCCTACTTGTCAAAAATACTATTATCTCATTTGCATTGAGAGATTTATTTACCTGTTCGGCTGAAATAATTCCATTTTCTGTGTGAAATCAATCGCACACGATTTAAATTCTGGTTAGGTCAGCAGATTTGGTGCCCACACAACTATTACCACAGACTTAGAGGAACTAAGTTTGAATAATCACTTTTTGTATCACTAACTGACCTACTCGGCACAAACAGAATTCGTAAAACTGCATATCAACCAGAAGCTAACAGCAAGATTTAACTTTTTCATCATTCTTTCAAGTAATCATTCAAAAGTGTAAGGGATCATAGATGTTGGCTTCATAACTTTTCTTTAATCCCATTAGGATTGAGAACAGCTGAGCTTTGTAGTAAAATTTGTGCATGGCACAGCCCTTACGTCTATTTGGAGAGATAATAATAAAACCGGATAGTCCTCTTTTAGAACCAGCTTCCTTTGTTGACGTGTTGAAATTGAGGATGGTCCAAATAACATTATCTTCCCTTAGATAAATAAACTGTAGGAAAATTTGTCGTCCAGGGTTTTTATATTAAGAATCAGAATCTGCTGTAGTTTGGAAAAGATTTTGAGCGAAGATTCACTGTCATTGTTGGAGGTGATTCCTTTGAATGTTTCTTTCAGCACGCAGTTGTGGAGGGGAGCTATGTAGCCACGTCTTCACTTGTGTTTGAACGGCTTGGAGACAAAAAACCCTCTTTTCTTACGTTACGTTATGTAGACATTAGTGAGTATAAACTCTTTCTTTCTTGAGATGATAATACAACCATCTCGTTTGAAAGTGGGTAATGTCGTGAGTTAAAATACAAATGCGCACATATACTTTAACACAAACTCACACGTTGGTCAAAACGCACACTTAGCAATAGGAGAGTTTAAAGTTCTGCCTTGCTCTACCGAACCCTACATATATGGAAGTTCTGAATTTGTCACAAAACCGTGCAATCACGGCCATTTTCTCTTTTAGCCTC